TCATCTTGAAAACATTCTTCTTCCAAATGTTGGCTACATATTACGGGTTATTTGCCGACGCGGTGTTCTCCTTTTATCCAATCGGCTACGAGTTTATATTCAGCTCCTGTTCCAGGTTAAAGGATCTGTTTGTTTTACAGATGGCAGCCATTTTGGAAGTTGAGGTGCAAGTTGGAGGAAATCAGAAGTTTGATTTCTCTACTACATCATTTTACTTAATAAAGTAAATCAAGACAAATTATTCTTCTAAATACCGATTTCTAAGAGATCATTTTTATTATCTTATTATCTGTTTGTTTTACCCAAATTTAGTCTCAACAAAGATGCCGAAACTCTGGGATCTACAGGAATGACAACGCTTGAGAATGTTTAGATGACAGCAGATCTTCTCTATAAATCCAGGCGTACAATGAACTATTTTTTCCCTTTTTTTGGGCCGATTCTCAGGTCGTGCGCAAATGTTTTGGATTGGGCCGACTCAGCCTGATGGCGCGTCATGTAGTGAACAGGGGAGAAAGAGGGGCAATCAGACCATCTCCCGAACAGGAACTAAAGGTCGGGAGAACATCAGTCGGCCTTTGCCAGGAGTTTGTGGACAAACTCTGCTGTTGATGCAGAGCTAGGACCTGATTTACCAGAACCTAGCGCACTGCACATGTGCAAACAACAGAGTTCTTCTTCTTCAAGAGCTACGAGCCTGACCAGCGCCATCTGTCTGCAGGGAGCAGGCCATGGTTTTTTTGACGTAAGCAGGTAGATCACATCAGAGCGTCGGATTGCACAGTGTGACAACAAACATCGTGAGCTGAGAACTTTTAATCGCTGTCGTTTTGTCGTATAGTTTGAGCTGCAGCTGTGAGCAACGATTGAACATAATCACAGTGTTTCCCCGACTTACAGGCCTTTAGCTGGTGGAAGGTTTTTCTACATTAGAGGAAGAAACTTTTTCTTAGAACTTTAACCAATATGGCCGCCATGAAGCAGTAAAGGAGCTCGCTCCAGAGCCACCGGGTCGATCAGCCGGTTCTAAAGGAATAAAGCTCCATCCATAGAAACAAAATGAAGGTTTTCTGAACAGGGCTGTAAAACTAGGAAGCTTCTTAAGAACTTCCTGTTTGGATCGGCGCCGCTGCCCTCTACGCCGCCGCTGTAAAGGGCTGGTTATCCTCCCGCAGCCGTGTGTCGCAGTTAGCTTGTTGCAGGTATGATGCAGATATTTTTGATTTATGCCTAACTTTTAAGGGCTGTCTGCACTATGTTATTCCACGCCACAACGCAAGAGGGACAATCAGGAAGTAGCTAGGATTGTGGGCATCTGCGTGTCGGTTTGATGAGCTTGTTTGCCGTCTACAACCCCTCACCCAACGTCGGACGACCCACAGTTCACCCGTGAGTGTTTCCCAGAGACTGGCCGTGGCGCTGCGTGAGTTTGTTCCAACCATCAACCAGAATGAGCGGATGTGAGGCCCAGAAGAATCTATTTGGGTTCTCAGCTGGTTTCCCTGAACCAGAACTTGCATCTCGGTCCGTTTGGAGCGTTTCTCCGCTTCAGGCCCATAAATCAGCAGAAAGCAGGCGGTGACCCGTCACACCAGGAGAACTGGAATATCTAGTTTGAACCGGTTTTGTTCTCCGGCAGCCTGAGGAGGATTCCTCTGCTCTGCCTGAACATCAGAACATCTCGACCCGACAGCTTTAACGCCGCCACGGTCAACCTGATGCCGCCTGGATTCAAAGTCATCAGAGCGGAAATCAGCTCCAGCAGAACAAACATGTTCATCAGGTGGAAACGGCATCTGATTGGTTAGAAAGCAGAGACTGAACATCTGGATCAGAGGGGGGGGGGGGTAGGCTAACCCTCCCTGATGTCCGTCTAGCGTCGGTGCCGCCGATCAACATGGCGCAGCTCAGAGATTCTTAAGAGAAACAGCTGAGAAGAGAGGAAAGCGGAGCTGCTTTTACCTTGATGAGGGACGTGCAAACGATGGCGCCGGCGTTCACCATGGGGTTGTGGGGTTTATCTGCAGGGAAACGGGATAACTTAGCTGGTTTAACAGGAAACGCCTCAAAGAAACAAACATTTCAACCTTTAGAGAAGAAAAACAAAAGACAGTTTCTGACCCTAACAGCCAGTTTACACCTTTAAACCATAGATATATAACGATAATTTTAAATTACCTTCAAAAACAATAGAGAGCATAAAATTGCACCAATGTACTCATTTAAAAATTTGGTTTCAAATTTTAAACATTTTATTTTAACAGCTCAAAGCTTTTCACTAATAATTCTCCCACTTTATGACTTTCAGTGTCAGAATTAGACCTTAGATCTAGATAGATTAGAATTAGATCAACCAAACAGGAAATAAAGCAAAAAACAAACAAAAGAAAATTACGGGAAAATTAAAAAGGGAAGAAAAAAAAATGCAGAATGAAAAAAGAAATTAACCTTAAATTATTAAATCAACCGTCCTAAAATGAGAGTATCATCAGTGTTGGAGCCAAATGCTTGATTTATGATTGAATATTTATTTCTAGTTTACTATTTTTGTCTGGTTTTGTTTAGTTGTGTTTTGCTGCCATTCATAATTTATGCTGTTTCTGGGCTCCGCCCCCTCATTATGGACAGGTGACTGCAGCACCTGGATTATATTGGAGTCGGCTATTGGGGCCGGGTGAGCTTTTGGGTTCAGTCAGCGCAGCCATACAGTTTTTAACCGCTTTTGATTATTGTTGTTTTTTTTTGACTGGCAAAAAGGAACGAAATGAGCCGATATGATCTGCCCGTCACGTCATGTTGCGGTAAGAAAGTCTAAGTTTGTTTTGATTTTGGAAATTAAAGCGTCTTGATCAAGAGGAAAGAAAGTTTGCTGATTGCATGGTCACATTAAAGAACAACTGAGATCTGAAGTGAGTCTATTTTGGATCCTTCTGAACCAAGAGCCAAACGCATCTTTATTGGAAAGATTGCGCTATTAATCAGAGCATCTGCACTGATCTTTACCTGTTGGGAATTTTAAAGAAGCACAAAAACTTATAAATCAAGCTTTGCGAGTTCAACAAGTTTAGAGAACGTCTGTAAAACCTCTGACCATCACATCACAGGTATTACAGCATCTAAACACGTTTAAATATAAATATCGTCTGTGATTTCCATCTCTTCCTGTTTCTCTCATATGGAATCACTTTTTCAAACAACGAGGCAAACGCCGTCGACTTCACAGCTGATTTAACATTTTAATAGTTGAGCGGGAAGACGTCGACATGCAGAGTTTACAACATTCTTCATTTTGCAGCCGATGGCTTCTAGGTGGTGGAAAAAATTTTCACTGCTTCCTTTTGCATCAGTGGTTTTCTTACAAAAAGCGCCAGATCTTAGTCTGGTTCTGGTGTTTGGAAACGCCGGGCCTTCAGTTAGAGGATCATTCGGGTTTAATCAGAACGTAGAACCCACTGCTTCTGAAAGAAGCCGGTCCCTGCAGGGAGAACCGCCCTGATGACGGGCCCTGCAGGGAGAACCGCCGCGCCCGGCCAGCGCCGTCCCCACGGAGCCTCACCGTCTTCATCAAGGAAGAGCTTGTTGAAGCGCAGGCCGCTGGGCTCCTTCCCGATGAAGCTGTGCACGTACTCCGTGCTGTGGTCATGGACGGCCACGGCGTACTTCAGGGGCTTCACGCAGGACTGCAGGCAGAAGGGGACCTTGGTGTCGCCCACCGTGTGCCTGATGAGAAAACAGAGAACAAGGAGAAGAAATCAAAACATCAGCTGAGACCTTCTGCCTTCCAACATCCTGGACCCTGCAGAGCATCCATACATAAGGACCCGCCTCCTTTCTCTTTGCCCAGCGGCAGCCATATTGAAGTTCAATCACTTTTGTTAATAAATTCTTATATTTTAATTTAAATTTGTGTTGAATTTATTCCATATGTGCAGATTTAATCAAAGAAAGTTAACGGACATCCATCTTTACCACAGTGTCCTGTAGGGGGCGTAAGAACGGAGCAACTGGCCCCGCTGACAGATCATAACAAAGCAGCTTTATCTTTATGTTTTTCCACACACATCGTCTGAGCCAATCAGAGAGCGGCTGCAGGACCACACCTCCGTCAAACTTTAACCAAAGGCGACTAATCGCCTTCCGCTCAGCCTCAGGGACTCACACATGGAGTCCAATGTCTCCACACGGGGACAGCCTGTCCTGAGCCGTCTCAGGGCGCTGCGGGACTTTGCCCAGCAGGACCGTCTGGGTCCTACGGTGGCTGAGCGGGGTCAGAGCGGCTGAGCGGGGTCAGAGCGGCTGGAATGTGAGACGTTGTGGCAGAATGTGGAGTTCTGCTGAGAAAATCTCACCTCTGTCCGTCCACGGTGCACAGAGACACGGCCCACAGGTCCGGGCTGAACTTGGCCAGCTGAGGAATGTAGTCTGCTACCTGGAACAGAGGCAGAGCAGCAGTGAGGAGGAGGAAACTGGGGCCCGGGGCCCCGGGGGGGCGCCACGTCCCCCAGGACCAGAACTACACAGTCTGAGACGCTTCTATCCAGGAAACACCAAGTAGAACCCATGAACCACCAGCTCTGCTGCTCACTGAGGACCGGTCTGGTCCGGTCAGGTCTGGACTTGGACTAGAACCCTGGATCCTTCCCTTCATCAGCTGTTCTGATCCGCTGCAGAGTCTGAGATCCTGGTTCTGATCAGGACCCAGTTTGGACCCAAGTAACGCTGCAGAGCAAATCCAAACCATCACACCTCCACCACCGTGCTTCATGCTCCTACATCTCTGCAGCCATCTTGGTTCTTCTCCGAGCTTCCTGCTGTTGGGCCGAACCTCCTGAAGGATCAGCAGCTTCTCCTCAGACGGGTCGGAGGTTAGTCCTTCCAGAACCCAGACGTCGGGTCTGCCGGCGCCGTCAGGGAGCACAGAGTCCATCCTGACCAAGCTGCCGGTTTGGCTTCAGCTTAGAAAGTGAAGGTTGCGGTTCTACTCAGGCTGAAACCGGATCAGAACCAGCGGGATCCGTATCTCCTGTAGCGGCCGGTTCTGTTTGCAGAACCAGAGGAGCAGGAAGCAGCTCTGAGCTGCTGAGAAACTTTACCTCTAAAGCAGAGCAGCTAACCCAAACCCAGACCTGAACCCGGAACCAGAACCGGCAGGATGACGATGAACCCGGATGCAGAAAAGAAAGCAGAGACATGACAGATCAGAAGCAAAAAAACGTCACGGATCTTTGGACACACCTGTCCTCCGGAGAGTTTTTTGGCTTTCTCATAAAGCTGGTCAATATGGGAGGTGAAGGCCTGGAAGTCGGGGATGACGAACTTCTTGCGGAAGGCCTGAGTGAGGAGGACAATGTTGCTCTGGACACACCTGATGGACAGAACCACAGACAGCATGCTGAGACGGCCGGACGGCATGCAGCTGCAGCAGAAGTTTGCCGACCGGCTCAGCGCCTCTCGAGTCCGACAAACTTGGATGAAACCAAAACAGAGGCGAGGTTGGTCGGACCGGAGCGACCCGGCGAGCCTTACTTCTTGAACAGGTGGCGGTCCAGCGTGACGCCGTCGGGCGTCTTCTTCAGCGACTCCTTCAGCATCTCCATGCACTCCTTCAGGCGGGGGTCTCCGCTCCGCAGCCCGGTGGCTTTCAGCGCCTGGAACCAGACGGGAAAAAGCTCCACCAACCAGAACCGGACCGGACCGGACCGGACGGTTCCGCGGCGTGTGAAGAACTTACCGTCATGAACTTGTGAGCAGGGATTTTCTCCTGACCTTCAGCCACCGTGTAGAAGAGCAGGTCCTCCAGACTGGGAAGGATCCCCGCATGCCTCCTCCTGGAAACGCAGAACCAGCAGAACCATTTAGAACTTCTGGAAACTTCTAAGCAGCATCTCAGTAAATTAGTAAACTAAATTAGTAACCAATTAATGACTAACTGGAGTATAGAGATTGTAAAACAGGCCTTTAGCAGACAGAGTGACCCACTTAGAACTATAATTACCGTATACAAAGATTGGAATTAATATCCTTCATTTCCATTTCTCTGCTTCATTCTATCTCTATAGATCTGCTGCTATAGGCTTAGACTGCTGGAGGACATAGGGACCCATTTTCATCATTCCATCTTTATTCTCCCACTCTGCAGAATCTGTTAGATCAATCTCTACTTTGAATCAATGTGACTGGATGATCTGGTGAACTGTAATAGAAATAAACTTAAAATTGAATTGTAATATTTTGCATTTAAGATTAAAAAAAAAATAATTTTTGATCCGTCCGTCGGATTTATCCAGAACTCCTCAAGCGGAAACATTTTATTTTCACCTGGTTTGGTTTTGCCTTTAAGGAACTTTATCTGATTATTAATCAAAAATAATCAACAGATTAATTGATTTGGAAACAACGGTTAGCAGCAGTGCTGGAACGTCTCTGTTCACCTTCAGGCTCTCAGTCGCCTGCTAACTAAATGCTAGCGCTAGCTGCTAGCGTTTAGCCTGCCCTGTTTCTTTACTGTTTGTTGTGAAACATGATCGTTTTCTAAGCCGGTTTCACAGCTTTATTTCCGCTGCTCTTTAAATAAAGGTCACCGTTCAGAGGAACAACTGAAATAAAATGATTAAAATATGATAAGAGATTTTAATATTTTTAATCTATGTAAAACATGATTCAAATATTAAATATATTATTAACAGAGGCGTCAAATAACAAAGTAAAATACTTCCTTCAGTAGAAATGTTGCCCATCTATACTTTTTTCTTCTATTCCTCACATTTAAAAATAAACTCAGTTTTATTTCATTTAAGCTCATTTTCATTCTGGCCTCTTGGTCTCTAAAAAATATATAAAAATCATGAAAATAATTAGTTTCATCCAGACAATCAATGTCTCTGTGGTTGGACTCGGTGCTGCCCCAGCCTGTTGCTCACCACAAACCAAAATAAAGAGTTTTTTCAAATGAAGCAATGTTAAATGTTTTCTTAGTTTCATAACTAAAGGTCACAAAGTCTAAGGAAGTTTTCATCTAAAACATTAGAAAAATGTTCCTTTAATAAAGTAGAGCAGTAAAACTTCTGGCATTAACAGTTTATCCTGCTTTATTTTTACTTTTATTCTTTAATTAGTTTTAAAATTTGTACTTTTAGACTTTTACTGGAGTAAAAATCTGAAGTTGATCCTCTAACTCTAACAGCAGGATTTAAACTTCTACTGGAGGAATAAACATTAATCTGCTCATTAAATAATAAAATGAAGAATTAAATTTGATGTTTAATAAAAAAAAGTTTAAAATTAAAGAACAAGTTTCTTTAAAAATAAAAACTTTGAGTGTCTCTGAAACCTTCCTCGTGAAACGCTGATGCTTCAGGGAAACCCCGTTGCCATGGTGATTAGTTTTCTATTAAACTTCGGTTTTGTTTTTTTAATGAACATAAAACTAAAATCAACCAGTTAAGTTTTTTCTTTCCTTTTCTGGGTTTGATCGACGGAGCAAAAAGTAACAAAATAAAGAAAAATCTGAAAGAGTCACGAACTTAACGGGTCGACCTGCAGAACCAGGAAGGTTCAGTTCTGACCGCCGGCAGCTAAAGATGTTCAACCCAGACGGAAAGTTTCCTGCTGATGCGGTTCTGATGATCCGACTCAAACATCAGAGGTCCGTTTAAAAACAGAACCCGCCTTCAGAAAAGGTTCAACAGAACCCCAGCAGAACCAGAACCGGACTGGGAGGAACTGAGTGAACACCCATTGGTTCTGTGACCCAGTAGTCCTCCTCTGATCCAACATTACGGTCCGGTCCGCTGGATGGGACCAGTCCCCCGTCTGCAGCTTTACTCCTTCCAGGTCCGGTTCTGATCGTCCACCGTTTGGTTCTGCAGAACAGGAAGCTTTCTGAACGACCTAAGGACCTGACCCAGCTGTCTCTGCCGGGTCGGTTCTGTTCTACCAGCAGGAACCGGGTCCACCAGGCTGGGAAATTAGAACCTTCTGGGTTCTGATGCAGAATACTGGAGGATTCATCCGTTTCAGCTGTTTTAGTTTCCGGGTTCTGAAAGGTTCTGATCTGGTTCCTGTTTCTCCTCCAAACCCAACAGGAAGTGAT